TAGATAGATAAAAACAGCTTAAACTGGGCTTTAGCGAGCACCTCGTTGTGAATAAAAGTTCCTCGCGATAGGTACTATTACACTATCTATTAAATGAGAAATATATATCAATTTGTGCTGCTGTAATGGAACATTTGCCGAAACCAATAAGATTCTTTCTATGTACTTTCTCCATCCCCAAGATGTGTGTATTCATTGAGCTACTCAAGAAAGAAAGCCACCACTTCCAACAAACAGAAAGCGAAATACTCATCACAAACAATTATCAATCAGTTATAATAATAATCTGTATTGAAATATCGCAGTGCCAATAATAAGGATGTTGTGAGGACCAATGTTAATAATGACGCATATTTCTCCCTAATTTCTGCGTAATATTCGTTGGAATCTTTGACGTCAGGATTATTTAATTAAGCGCTTAGTGTAGAGAAATTTTCCAACTTATAGGCTTTCGAACTAATCCCATCGAAAGAAACAGACCACTTAAGGTTAAACAATAATCTTAAGGTCACTAATTGTCATTTACAGTGCGTAACAAATTGACAAAAATAAAGCCTAAAAGCTAAAGTTTTTATCTATGTAAATTCGATATAACGAATATCGTTTAGTACAGTAATTTTGACGAAACCAAATTATCACTGATTAAACATGTCTTGATATATTAGTAATGTCTCGATAAAGCTTATAATAGCTAATACAATGTACTATATGTCAGTTATAATAAAATATGCTTGTTATAACGAATCCATATTACAGACCATTCAAATTGAAAAATCGAACGATCATAAACATTCTGCTTCAAAGCGAGTTACTTTAAATGACACAGTTTAAAGTAATTTTCGGTGTGGAGATTGTCGCTTTTAATCTGTATGTAAAACTAATATTTGTTGCGTGGGAAAACGTTACAATGAATGCAATTAGACATAGCTTGTATGCAATGGAAACATAAAGTTTGTCGAAAACAATTGTTGAATTTATACATTAAAATATTAAGTCTTTATGCCAAAATTCTAGATGGAAAAAGGCGATGGGAAAGTGTTTGAATGGAACTCGTACATTGGCCGATGAGTATAGACGATGTACCTTATTTCTAGAATGAGTCACAAATACATTGTAGAATTTATAGGCTTTCGAATCGAAAGAAGTAGATGTAATACTCGAGGTTAAATAAAAGTTTTTGGATTTATTTATTTATTTATTGCCCAAAAAGCTAAAGTTTTTATTGATATAAATTATTCTTTTGCCATTTTTTTTTTATCATCTCACACGTTCTTTTCATCGATCTGATACAAACAATTAGAAATTCTTCTGTCATATACTGCTCTAATTCTCTGATCACTCACTCTTATACCAAATAAGTTATTGTGTTTCTGAATAGCTAAAAGCAGTTTTATCAGAACAATGTTATTGAGGTATCTGGCTGCTCAATTAACACAAGCTTCTTTATGAGCAACAGAAAAGACTGTTTTGTAACTCAATCTTGCCAAATGTCTTGGAATTGTCATATGAGACACCTTTGTGATACTGTTTGTTTATGATTCTTTTGTAACATTCTCACAGACAGTTGATATTGCAATGCCAGCCCTAGAATGTATATCCTTTGCTGAAGCGATCAAATCCAGCCACAATTGTAATTGGAGTGTTTTTATTAGAAGATGTCACTGTAAAGTAATGAAAGAAAGTAATTTCGATTTCAAAGGGAATCGTTTATTCGATATCATCCGTGGATTAGATATTATTAGCAACAATTGAGCGTAACTAATAACATGAGACATCTAAGTCGCTTATATATCTTAGCGTCATCGAAAACCGGTAACGTCACGAAAAACGAGTAACGCACCAAAATACGACGTTACCGATAGACTTTGAAATACTGCAAAAGAAGACCAAATTCGTTGTTTCCACTCTCCAGGAGTTTCACCATCGTAAGTTTATTAATACAATGAATCATATACGTGTACCACATCTACACCACTCTAAGTACCAGGGCTCCACTCCATATCATCTCTATAATCTCTATTGCCTAATACTATACAAGGGCGGCCCCTACCGAACAGTCCTCTTCCTGCTGCTCCCCAGCGCATCCAGCAACGCTTCCATTTGCCGCTGGTGTCTCTTAAGCAGATAAATGAATGCCGCAGTTGGAGGTTCCAAGGACGGGAGAGTGTATATATCATCACCTGAGGGTGCAACAATAATAATTAGTATATAGTGCAGATTAGGTATCACAAGTGTGTCTGGTTGGGAAATAAAGAAAACTTACTTTAAGGACATTATCGGTATTTGCTATGACACTTCCTTCCAGCTCAACAACATTGTCTTTTCGAAAACGATCAATTGTGGTGAAATCGGTGTTGTTATTATGGAGGCTTATGTTCGCTTCTGTATTATCGGAGTTTGCGATGCGAATGTTGCATCTGCAGCGTATTAATCATATTGTCCTCGGACAGTTGTTAAGGTCTCCACTCCTTTCCTCCGCGTAATCCATAAAACAGAGCCCGTGAAACAAAACCCTTCAGCATGGATGTCTTTTCTGAATAGAATAAACGCCCACCCTTCAGCATGGACGTCTTTTCTGAATAGAATAAACGTCCATCCAGTGTTGAGTTCGTGAAACAAAACCCTTTCATCGTCGCTCGGCCTACCGCGCATGGATACTGTTTGGGTGCCAATGGGACTTCCACACTCGGAACAGAAGCTGGCATCGGCTTGAAAAATATCCACTTTACATGCTGGACAGCGCAAAAATTTGCTTTTATAGGAAGCTGTTTCATGCAATCGTTGTTGGCGCAGAGACGGCTTGGTGCTATTCAGCGTGAACGTCTTTTCTGAATAAAATGAATGGATTTTGTTCTCATTGATTATGTCAAAATTACATATTAATATTTTGTTTATAAAATTTTATAAAGCAGCCGTTGAGATATCGTTTGAAATGTCTTTAGTTGAATCTTTTAGGTTGAAGGGGTTGAAGGCTAATTTCTGCAGTGCGATCATGCATTTACTATTACCCCGTTTATATTCCCCCTTTTGTTTAGCCCAAAAGTGGGGAATGGGTTATTCAAGTATATACGTACAATGTTATTATCAAACAAGAAATAAGTTGCAGTTCGTTGGAGTTGATAGAGGGAGAGCGTTATCGGGTAAATGGGATTCAGAGATCTTA